CATATTGGCATAAATTTTAGTATATTGATATAAATTCAAGGTTATTTCCAATATTTTAAAACTGTTATTACAAATTATTTAGGATATTAGGTAATGTAAGTTAATTGTTAGTTAATCACCTCATGGTTATGTCAAACATTAGTCTAATTTCTCACAAAAATATATATCTTAGGTTTAATATATAATTCTATAGATAGATAGATTATATAAAATACATAGATAAGTCTTCAAAAACTTCAGACCTACAAAATATGGCATTTAAAAATGTTTTTGATTACTTTAAGGATTTTTTGACATTGAGACATGTCATCTCCTGGCAGCACCCAGCCTACCTCAAAGAAGATGATGAACATCAAAGAACCTCCATATGGAGATGGCTTCAAATGTGGCAAACCAGCCACCCTGGCAAAGAAAAATGCCCTTACTTCACAACAGACAAAATTCTGCCTAAAATGGGCAAGCTCAAATGCAGGCCAAGCTGACTGCCAAACTCTTCCAAACAGGGTAAGCAAGCTCTAAATAGTTCCTGCTTCACATGTATGTCTGTCAATTATACTGGGACCAGAAAGCTGAAGATGATGCTCCAACATTAGAGTTTTGGGTAGCTGTTCAGCTAACTTTCTCTGTCAATATTCTATTTTGACAGAGAAGCTGCTAGCATACACTTCCTATTTACTCAAATAATTAATTTTGTTCCTTCTCAAGTGTCCAATAATTAGCTTAGTTGCTTAGGACTAAAAAGATATATTACGTCTAGATAGATGTTTTCAGGTTGATAGATACAAACTATAAAAAATAACTTAGGTACAAAGCCATAGACCCTCATAGATAGAATAGATATAGTCTCCAAGATTGCCACATACATTTAGACTAGACATTACATATATGTGTGTGTGTATAATTTTACCTATTTGTTTTTATAATTGTTTCATATTATTCTTACTGTATAGAAAAATGACCTTTTTATTTAGACAGAAAAGGGGAATTATTGGGGGTCTTTCCAATGCTGACCCTCAATAACTGGTTACACCGATCCTCATTTTGTATACCTGCTAAGTCATTATATCTGATTGGTGCAGATATAATGGACAGGGCAGAATGGGGTAAGATGGCTAAGGTTCCTTGGCTTTGGAGAGAGACAGAGAGGAAGACAGGAAGAAGGAAGACACCAGGATGGGTTAGCCTGGAGAAGAAACCACGTGGGGCCAGGAGGAAGAACTCCAATAATGGCGTGGGAAGGCCCAGGTGAAGAATAAAAACAAGTCCCACAGGAGTTTGTATGGAAGATAGTTCAGATGAGGAGGATTGAAGCTGATGGCATTGGATGGGGGCTGGAAGATGGATGGTGAGGACACTGACGCAGTGTAGGTAGAATATCTGCCCAGCCCAAGGTCAATAAGGCAATTCTAAATCTAACAGGTTCTGTGCCTCATTATTTGTGATAGCGGGTTAGATAATACCGCGTGATAATCATAGGGATAATAATAAACATTATATAGCCCAACAGCCATTTTTTTAAACTTACTACAACAACAGGGGAAAGAGCTGAGTTCTTACAGTTCTAGTCAGCTCCACTGGCCTTCTTTTGACCCCAAATAGGTGTCTGAGTAGCCCCTTTGCTGTGGACCTAGCAAGGAGGAAATCTGCTGGACGGCTGTTATAAGAATAGCCCGAGGAGAAGGATGCTGACAGGGTGATCAGCAGCTCCAAGAAAGAGGAAAAATGGAGTTGTTCACAGTCTTTCCATGCTACCCCAAAGGGGGAGCAATAGTGAGGTGGACTACGGAGCACACCACAGCACCCTTGTCTTCTCCTCTCCTGCAGCGTTAGCTTTTGTGGAGTTAGGGAAGGAGGAGAGTGGACAAAGAATGAAGAGACAGACTTCCCTTATATATATTTTAAGAGGCTTCTCTTGGGCCAGTGGGTAGCTCAGCAGGTAAAAGTGCTTGCCACAATATCCTGGGGACCTGGGTTCTATTCCTGCAACCCACAGTGGAAGGCTAGAACCAATTCCTAAAAGTTATTCTCTAACTTCTCAACATGTGCTGTAGTGTATATATACACACACACACTCACACACATAAATAAGATTTTAAAACTTTTTTCAAAAGACCCTTTTGGCTCTCACGTGACACCTATTAAGAATAACAAAGTGACCATGATGGCTGTTCGGGGTCCAGACGGCCAGCGATGAGTCTTGTGCCCCAGCCTCAGCCTTTCAACGTCCTGATACTTTGGTAGTAGTTAAGTAACAGCCTCAGTTGGGGCTATCTTTCTTTCCCCCGCGGTGCTTGGGCTCAAGCCCAGGGGCTTGGCACATGTTAAGCAAATACTGCCCTTAAGCTACACCCCTACCCTTAAAAGTCATCTATGGTGAAAGTGGGCTTGTCCTAAAGTCACTATTTCCTTACCATTGTTTCCTGTTTTGGCTATATCTGTATCCTAAGGGTGTCTTCTGTAAGGGCAGAGATTAGAAGGTCATCTGGACAAGCCTGAGCAGGCAGCAGAGTCAAGGACGCCCACACAGCCTGTTCAGTAACGTGATATTGACTGGTCTCCTCTGCATGAGCCACTGCCTTCTGTGGGCTCTGTGCAGTTAGAAAGCCAGCACTCACCCTGCCTGGGACTGAAGCCGTCCTCCAGTTTAGAACGGGGGGGGGGGGGGGGGGGGCGGGGGGCCCCCCCGCGGCCCGGGGGCCGACCCCCCCGCGGGGGGGGGGGGGGGGGGGGGAGCAGGCTGCGGAACCCCTGCTGGGCCAGGAGGCATCATTCACAGACCTTTCTTACTGTCAGGAGATCAGCACTGATCTTCCATGGGCACACAGGAGAATAAAGTGAAGGCTGAAGTGTAAGCCATAGCTGGCCACAGGAAGAACAATTCCTCTTAGGTTCAGAAATGCCCAGCTCCCCCATGGCACACCCTAAGGTGCAGACCATAGGAAAGGATGTGCCTGGTCAGCCGCGTGTGGCGCTCACTCCTTTCCGGCCTGCGCACAGCACAGCACGTGTGTTCCTGATAGTGCCATGTGACTTTTGCCATCTATGCTTTGGTCCGCATTGCCGCTCTGCAGCAGATGTCTATATGCCACTTGGTGGCACCTCAGACTTCCGCTCAGACTGGAGCTTAAAGAATGTTTCAGTAAAGAGCCCAGGCGGCCACTCCCTGCTTCACAGAGCTGCTTGGTCTCTCCACTGAGCTCCTCACTGCAAGCGTGCACTCTTCTGTCCGTGTCACACACCGCAGTAGGCACACGCTGTGTACCTGGCTTCCAAAGCAGCCAGGGAGACCATAGCACCTGAGCTTCTTAAAGCGCGTCTCAGGCTCGGCTCACTTTATACAGCTTTGAAAAATAACAGGGAAGGATTTCTAAACTCACAACAAAGAGCACTTGTTTTCCTCTCCGATACAGCTCTTCTGTTGTTCCTGCGACCATCTCATGGTGCCTTTTGTTGCTGTTTGTTTTGGTTTTTAGAGACAAGCTTTTACACTGTATTCCATGCAGGCTTCAAACACACAGCAATCCTCCTGCCTCAGCCTCTCAAGTACTGGGATTACAACTATGACCAGATTCATGGATATTCTTTTTTCTTGAGTATATTATGCAAACTTTTCTATGTAATTTATATCTAATTAAAAGAAAACTAGTAATTAGTGTATATACACTATATACTTTTATATTTTTATAACAACATCAACTTTTAGTAGGCACACAGATTTCTTTATATATCGACAGATTGTGCAACTAAATAATACAAGGAGAGAACAGGCCCTTGAAGTGGGGAATCCCAAAGATCCGGTTTCCTTCTCACCATGAGACCCCCTTGCTACTCATGTTAATGCTTTATGACTCTTAAGTGAAACAATGCCAAGCCTGTGCTTCAGGAAAACACCCTTTCAGAGTTCGGATTATTATAGCCAATAGCTTACTTTTTGGCAAACAAACAATAACTTACTCTTATATACCCAACTTTGTATATATATTTGTAAACACATTTTCTCTTACTGCACATTACGTCAGATCTGAGAAAAGCACCTTCAAAGTGTGTCTATTTCTGAATTACACCATTCCATGACTATAAATGATACATGTCATTTAATTTAGCATCTTCTTTTTTTCATTGTGATGAGGGACTGTGGCAAATGAGCGTGTGTTTTATACAGTGTACTTAGATGAGGAACTGTGAATCTGAATCAGAACAGGACATTATCTTGGCTGAGGTGCACTCATATCCTTTGTGTTAGGAAATGATTGCAGTAACATCTAATAAAGCTAATGAAATTATGCAGTGACAGACTGTTTTGAACAGTGATTTTGGAGGTTGTCACAGTCCACTCAGCTCCAGTGCTCTTGTCCTAAAGATCATAATCATAAAGCCAGTAGATAAACAGCCGAGCGGAGGTTTTAGACCTGGGTAGGATCTTGTACACTGGCTTGGTGTGGAACTGTAGGCACAGATCCATGCTTTCAATGCTCTGAATCCACACAGTAAGAGCCTCCCACGAAATCTTTCAAATTTATATCTTGTTGGGAACAGGGCACTGTGACGGAATGTCGGAGCAACGACTTAGATGATCCATGGGAAACAGTAACATGACTTTCAAGCTTTCCCTATAAACCACTAGATGCAGCAAAAATAACGGGAGATAAAATACTAGGGCCATATTTTCTCATATGTGCTAGTTAATCTAAAAAAGTGAGAAGACCCTGAGCCTTTGAAACATACATCTTTTCATACTTTAAAACCAGCTGTGGAGGCCCGTGCCTAACAGCAGGGCTATCCTACAGTTCCTGGTTCTTTGTTTCAACACAAAGGCATGGAGAACATCCAGCTTCATTTGGCTCAACACAAGACAGCACTCAGAGCAGTGAAGAGCCAACCCCAGCCCTTAGAGCAGTGGACCTGCCCTTCTCGGGTAGACCCTGAAGCAGAAGGTCAGGGCCACTGAGGTCACCGCAGGAGCAGCAGAGAGCTAGTTCTCATGCCAACCACCAGCTCACCTTGAAGAACTTCCATGGGGAGGACAGTCCAGGCATTTTCCAGGTAGGAAATGTAAATATATCGCGCCGTGTTGCAAGCCAGGCCAATGTACAAAACCCTGGAAAAGACAAGGCAACATGGGGGAAAGTCAGTTGAGGCCCCAACATGAAACACAAATTGCAAATACTACTTAGGTTTCTGCTGTCCAAACCATTCCTGACTAAACAGATATGTTCTAGCCTTAGGAATAGGAAAGCTTGTGGACAAACTTAACCACACTTCTGCCTGCTGCCTTCCCTGAACGCTTACTGTAAGAGCCAGGATTGCCCTTCCTTATCCTTCATTAGTCTGGGTACACAGCCATCTATGAACTGGCATTGCTGGCTTCCTTTCAAATGGCTGTAGCCTAAACATGCCTGGGACTGTAACCACTTCACACCGATACAGTGTCTATAAGGTCCCTCCCCCGCCCCACCCCACCCCTGAGCCAGACAAGCCCACCGTGAACATGGAGCTCTAACAGTGCATATCAGCTGAGACACCACTGTGCGCTCTGTTCACTGCAGAGCTCAAGGCGAATAAAAACCAACAAAAAAATGTTCCTTAAAAAAAAAAAAAAAACCTGACAATGCAGTGGGAAGAAAGCAACATAAACAAACACGTGGAATAAAGTATGTTAAGGACATCCGCACAACCTGGGGTCACTCATCTGGGTTAAAAGGACAAAAGTGCAAACAGCAATATACACAGTAGAAGCAGAGCCAGTGAAAACTAACCAGCAAGCTGGAAGATGAACAGACTGTATTGAAAAGATACACAAAAAGGGTAAAAAAAAAAAAAAAAATGAGTGCAGACCTTATTCTAGAAATTATTGCAGAGACAGTGCAGGCATAGACAGGAAGTCTAAGTGGGCTTCCTGCAACGCTCAGCTTAGACACCTCAATCTACATCTCCAAGTCCCCGGATCTGGGTTTCTGTTTTGGCTTAAAACAGCAGGGTTTGGAGCAATGGCTTAGTGGGTCAGAGCACTGGCTGCTCTCCCAGAGGACTCAAGTTCAACTCCCAGCACCCTTGTCAGGCAGCACAACTGCCTGAAACTCAAGCTTTGGCCAAACTGTCACTCTCTTCTGGCAGCCACAAACACCCATAGCCCTGCTGCACAGACACCCACATGTACAACTAAACAAATAATAAAAATAAACAAAAAAAAAAAAAATCAAGGTCCTAGCTGAGATACTACTGAATATTTCTCCTATATTTTTAATCTACTGAGAGTCTGGGTAAAAATGAACCATACAGTTGCCAAAATAGTTGAAAACGTCGCATGAAATGGTATTGCCACAATTATTTTCTTTCTGGAACAACAACAACAGAAAGATGGTCTGTGGAGACAAACTTAAGGAAACTGCTTTCTTGCTTCAAGAGTCCTATCATCAGAAAGCACATGGGATGCAGTATGGACCATCAAATCAAACCAACCTTAGTCCACCAGGAAACATCCCCACACAGCCTACCTGGCACAATGCTATGTCCTCCAGCACCAAAGGAACAGCTGACCCACCACCCCCTCCACCCTAGTCGTGACAGTGCTCCTTCAGGTCTCACACCAGGACTGTTCCCTTCTGCACGCACTCACAGCCTCATGTGACTCTCTGTGCAACACTTACATGGTTAGAGGCTGACCATGCAGTCATGGAAGCTGAGGTCTCTGATCCTGTGGCCTCTCAGTTATCCTTTCTGCCTGACATAATGGGCCCTCAATAAACATTCATGAATTGGTGGGGATTATATACACCTTAAATCAAACACCAACTAATAAATATTTACCAAACACATTTTGCCCTAAGTACTAGGGATACAATGGCAAATGAGATATAAGTATTCAAGATGAATGTATTGTGTTTATAAACATGACTGTATTTTCAGATAGCCAGTTATAGTACAGGAATAAGTGAAAAGTTTGGGAAAAATAAATTAACTTCTTAGAAATAGGAAGGTTAAAAAGGATATCCGTATTTGGCAACATGTTCATGATAAAGCTTGAAGAGAAACATTGTAATTTCTGTGAAGAAGATTTAAATAGCTCAATGCATAGGGACAAGGGACTTTGGAGGGCATCTTGAAGTGTTACGCAATGGAACCAGCATGTGTGCAGCAGATAACGAGGCTCTGCTCACCATGAGCCTGACTCACCAGAAGACAGAATTGTTGGCATGGAAACCACAAAGCTCAAAGAACCAGTGGCATTCCCAGAGCACAGCTGAAGGGGTAACCAAGAGCTCCTGGAGGACACCAGGCAGCCATCCGGAGCTACTGCCCCATCCTTGGGAGACAGCACAAGAACCACACTGCATCAGAAGATGGGGGGACAACAATCATTTTAGCTGTGTGTTTTGTGCAGATAGCAACAAAGGCATGTCTGAGATCTCTGTCAGGTCCATCTCCTGTCAGATGGTTAAGAAGCTAATAGGACAATGACAGCCACCATCAGCAAAGCCACTGTAGTGCCAGTCCCTGGCCACCTCTTTATTGTTCATATACATATATATGAACATATTCATATACATATCTGTATATGAACAATATATATATATATATATACATATATATGAAGAAAATTAAGAATGTTCAAAAATAAATAGGATTGTCATTAATGGAATCTGTCCACTTCTACTTGGCTGTTGTATTTTCCAACTAGGTAAAAGCCAAGTGAAACACACACACACACACACACACACACACACACACACACACACACAATTTTATTAAGTTTTTCCTGGTAGGGCTAAAGTAGCCACATGGTATAAGTGGTGTAATTTCCAGAGCATAATCCTGGCATTTGATATATTAGTTATTTGGAGAAAGGTATCAAAAGTTTAGGTTACCCTGGGTGGCATTTGAGAAAACTGAAAAAGTTAATTAGAATTCAAGCTGAAGTCAGAATTGTGACCAAGTCCAAAGAGATTTCAATGCTGCTCCTCCTTCTTCTGTGCTTTGGCCAGACATGGGGAGAATCTCTTAAAGGTACATTTGAAGAGATAAACATGACAAATAGACAAAAAAATGAGCCAGAAAATGAAGGGGCTAGAGAGGCTCAGATGATATGATGCGGAAGGAGCAGCCTTCCTTGAGAAGAAACTTGAGAAGAAACTTGAGAAGAAAGCTGAAAGGACACTCAAGATGTGGGTGTCCCTCCTTCAGAAGAGGGGGTGCAAAGCAGATGAGGATGCAGTTGGCATAGTACAGTATTGTCTGAGGTCTTCCTTGGTTTCCAGCTGGACTTCTTCCTGCACCTGCCTGGGACCTCCAGCATCTGTCTGGGTCAGCTTGTTCCAAAAGAACTGGTAGAAGGAAGAACGCAGTTTCTGATGATTGAGATCGGCTTAAAGCTACACCTCAGGCCACAGGCTGGGCTTTTCAGCTATACAATACGTTCCCCACTTTGCGAAAGTGTCTCTGAGTAAGGTGTTCTGCCACATCAACTGCGAGCTCCAAGTGACTCAAAATCTTAGCTGCCTTATGAACTATCATGTTCTATATCACTACAAATGGCCAAGCCAAGGCTAGGTCTATCAAGGACTAGAGGCCACAGCTGGATGAGTCCAGTCCTGTGGGACTACCCCAGTACATACCACAGAGTACTTGACTGGTTTAAGCAACAGACAGTTACTGTCTGAGAGTTCTTGGGGCTTGGAGTTCAAGAAGAGGGTAACAGTAGCGTTGGTTTCTTCAAACACCTTCCAGCTTGGTTTGCTGGTGTCTACATCATTGTGGAGTGTGTCTTCCCTCTGTGCTTGTCTGTGTACTGATAACTTCTCATAAGGACAGCAATCATGATGGATGAGAGCCTTTGCAAATGTGAACTACCTCTAAAAGCGCTCACTCCACACAGTCACTGAGGTCATGGACGTTAGCAACTCGAGGAGTTTTCAGGGGACACAACACAGCCCAGAAAAATGATAGCTTAGCTCAGAAAAATGCCTTCTCCCATGCTAGACATTTGCCACACAAACATGCAGAAAGACTTCATGGAGAATGTATCTTCCTCAAGAGTGTGTCACTGCAGCCTCGCCATAGATGATGGGTCAGTGCTGGTGTCCCGGGACTCTGCAGTTAGGCAGAGCTAGGTCTACGAGAAGGGCTATGAGCACTTTGTACAGCCTCATCCAGATATATTTGCCCATTTACTTTATCTGGGGAGTTGGTATTTACTTTTCCACTGGTTGATAGGAAATGAAAGGCTTGTACAAACAGCATTAATTAGTGCACTTTGCGAGTGTGGAGCATAGTGGGGCACGTGGGTTATATTCATGGTACAGGCATGCTTGAGGTGGCCTTTTCTACAAAGCCCTTTCTGAGCAGATCAAAGAAGCCTTTAAAGGATAAATGTAGTGCTAGAAAAGTGGCTCTGTCAGGAACAGTGTCTTACCGCACACCTCACAACTTATGTTCAATCCCCAGAACCTGCATGGTGAGAGGACAGAACTGACTCTAGTAAGTTGTTCTCTGACCTCTACATGTGTGCTATAGCACTCATACATCCCTCTTCCCTACACACACACACACAGAGAGAGACTAGAGAAAAAAAAAGAGTATGGGCCAGCATTAAGTAAAATGCAAAGCTTTCAGCAAGAACATCTACGCCCTGACAATTCTTCCCAAACCTGTACATAGAGAAGCACATAAGACTCCAGGTCCCAAATTGAGAGTGGAGTCAGCCAGCTCTGGAGAAAGGCATGGGCTGCAGCACTGCTGCCCTAAGCCGCACCCCCCCATCCCCACTCTTAGTGCTTCTCCAGAGAGCTGAGGAATGTAAAAGTTCCTGACATTAGCCATCTGTGAGGGCAGAGATAAGGAAGAGAACAAGCAGAGATCTCTACTAAATGGAGAGAAATCACCGGCTGGCACCTGTGAGATGAGCTTTGTTTGGAAACTGGGCCAAATGGCCCCAATCCTTCTCCTGAATAGCTCCTGACCTTTGATCCAAAGCCTGTAACCCCCACTCCTCAGAACAGACACGGGATGAGTTAATCACTCTCCCACCTTTAACTGTGGCTATATCTCATATGGCAGGAAATTCCAAACTGGCTTGAAGATCAGATATTTACGACAGGGCTG